CCCCAGCTTGTGAAAGCAATTGCTAATTTAAAAAATATATATGTTTTTATTAATTTCAGAGAGGAAGGGAGAGGGAATGAGAGATAGAAACATCAATGTTGAGAGAGAATTATTGATCGGCTGTCTCCTGCACACCCCCTACTGGGGATTGAGTCTGCAACCCAGGCATGTGCCCTTGACCGGAATTGAACCTGGGACCTTTCAGTCCAAAGGCTGATGCTCTATCCACTGAGCCAAATTGGCTAGGGTGCCAATGTTAACTTTATAGGAATTTTTGCAAGTTAGTTGTTAGGCACAGCTATTATTAAAAATTAAGTTATAAAACTTTCAAGTAAAGAAGTTACATTAAAAACTCATCACTCCCTTGTTGTTTTACACTTGATTATTAGCTATACTCTTGAGGTTGCTTGTATCAAATGCATCTGTATGGTAGAAACACTATATAATGGTTCACCTCTCTACCTTTCCTCCCAACTCCAAATTAAGTGACTTCACAGTTGAAACTTGAAATTGGCAATGATGGGAGTATTTATACCATGGAAACTGTCAGATGCCTTTTTTGAGCCGATGAGATACCACAGAAGTTTTTCTGAGACTTGGATCAGAGGAGGGCCTTTTTCCTATTGGATGTGGACCCCAAAGGATGTGAAGCCTGGCACCCTGGCAGCCATCCTGCCAATGTGAGGAGTGACTTCCAGCGAGAATGGAGCCAACATAACAAAAGATAGAAGGGAGAGATAGAAATAAACCAGTGCCCGATATCATGGTGTGAGCTCTATTTTCAGCAGGTCCTCATCCCACTTCTAGCCCTAGACATTTTGATTAAGTGAGCCAATAAATTCCTTTTGTATTTAAACTGGTTTGGGTTGAATTTCGTACCATTGGTAACTGAAAGCAGCCTAAAGGATGCAGTAGAATGTGTATGTGGTCCAGGATCATTCCTAGCCACCAAAAAGAGTTGACTGATAAAAGTAATTTAGAAGGATGGTAATCCTGACCTCAATCTTGTTCTGTTCTCATATCATAATTCTTGGTTTGACAAACACATAATTGCCTTATTTAAGGGTTTAATAAGCCTTGTATATATTATTTCCCTTGCAGGCTGAGATCAGTTTTAATCAAAAAACACTTGGTTAGAGTGGGAGGCATTCTTCTGAGGCTATCTAACAGCTATCCTTCTCTTCCTTGATATTGAAAAGCTTTTATTCTGTGTGGCAAAGCTCCAGAAGATGAGTCATGATTTTTCTAACCTCCTCACAGCCATCTCATTGCCCTTTATCAGATACTAGGGACCCAGTGCACAAATTTGTGTACCTCTAAAGGCTCTGTGAGCCAAGAGGATGCAGTGGGCACAGGGGCGGGTCTTGGTCCACCCTCCGCACCCCCGCCCAACCCTTCCTGTCATGGTCCCTGGTCCCCTGTCTGCCGGCAGCCCCACTCCCACCGCCGCTCCCATGTGCTGACAGCGTGGAGCAATTGGGGCTGGAGCCAGCAGCAGGTGCAAGCGGCGGCTGCTGCCCCGATCACTCCTCAGGAGCAGGGGGAGGTGGAGAAGCCCTCAGGGATGATTGGGGCCAGCAGCTACCATTCACACCTTCTGATGGAGCTGAGCTATCAGGACTGGCGCTGGGCACCAGCAGTGGGTGCAAGTGGAGGCTGCTGCCCCAATTGCCCCTCAGGAGCAAGGGGGAGGTGTAGAGGCCCTCAGAGGTGATTAAGGCTGGCAGCTGCCACTCTCACCTGCTGATAGTACTGAGGAATTGGGGCCGGCGTGAGGCACCAGCAGCGGATGCAAGTGGCAGGTCCAGTGCCAGCAGCGGGTGCAAGCAGGGCCGGCATCAGTGGCAGGTGTGAGCAACCAGTGGGACTGTGGCACATGGGAGGAAAGAATTTTTAGTAACCACCAGAGGCTTGCCCTGATGACAGCGACTGGGGCCCCACCTTGGTTGGGTGCCCCCACTTACCTGCTCCACCATCCCATCGCAGCTAATGCCCACCATGTTCCGTGCTCTGCCACCTGTTGCAGACACCTGCCATGTTCTGCGCGTGCCCCCTGGTGGTCAGTGCACATCATAGCGACTGGTTGTTTGGTTGTTCTGCTGTTCAGTCTATTTGCATATTAGGGTTTTATATATATAGATAGTTGACTCTTGAACAACTTGGGGGATAAGAGGGACCAAACCCTCAAACATGAAGATCTGCTCTTAACTTTTAATACTATAGTAGTCCCTGCACATCTGAGGTTGGTTTAACCTATGCATGTGGAACCCACAAAGAGCCAAACAAGAAATTTAAAAAGGTATAAATAAATAAATAAGTCTATAGAATAATAATATAAAAAAGGAAATTATTTTTGTACAGCTGAACCATGTGGGTTTTTAAAAATTATATTTGTATTGATTTCAGAGAGGAAGGGATAAGGAGAGAGAGATAGAAACATCAATGATGAGAGAGAATCATTGATGGGCTGCTTTCTGCATGCCCCACACTGGGGATCAAGCCTGCAACCCATGCATGTGTCCTGACCAGGAATCAAACTGTGACCTCCTGGTTCATAGGTCGACACTCAACCACTGAGCCACACCAGCCCAGCAGAATTTTTTTTCTTTTAATTCTCACCTGAAGATATTTTTTCCATTGATTTTTTTTTTTAGAGAGAGTGAAAGGGATGGGGTGGGGGAGAGAGAGAGAGAGAGAGAGAGAGAGAGACGATTGGTTGCCTTCACATGTGCCCCAACTGGGACCAGGGATTGAACCTACACCCCAGGTACATACCCTTGATGGAATCAAACCTGAGATGCTTCTATGCATGGGCCAACTCTCTAACCACTGAGCGACTGACGAGGGCTTTGACGCTCTAACCACTGAGCAACTGGCCAGCACTACGATGTGTCTTTTAAGCTAAGTGTTATTACAAAAGAGTTGAAAGTTAAAATAATTAAAAGTTTATAAAGTAAAAAAGTTATGGGAGGCTAAGGTCAATTTATTATTGAAGAAGAAAATACTTTTTTTTTTTTTTTTTACAAATTAAGTGTATTTTTTTCTACAGTATTTATAAAGCCTATAGCTGTATACACTAATGTCCTAGGCCTTCACATTCACTCACCACTTGCTCACTGACTCACCCAGGGCAACTTCCAGTCCTGCAAGCTCCATTCATGGTAAGTACTCTATACAGGTGTACCATTTTTAATCTTTTATATTGTATTTTTACTGTAGCTTTCCTATGTTTAGATATGTTTAAATACACAAATACTATTGTTATACTTATCTATAATATTCAGTATAATAACATGTTGTACAGATTTACAGCCTAGGAGCAATAGGCTATACCATTAGCCTGGGTGTATAGTGGGCTGTACCCTCTAGGTTTCTGTAAGTGCACTCTGTGATGTTCACACAATAATTAAATTGCCTAACAATGCATTTCTCAGAAAGCATCTCCATCATGAAGTGGTGCATAATTGTACTAATGCATAAAAACTGCTCAGAAATAGTCTGTTAATAAGTCCCCATAGAATTATCTTGTCTTGATTTAATTTTATTTCCAATTTTAAATTACTTTTTATGAACTGGAACCTCCCAAGCTCTTGCTTGGCCTCTTGATGTGTTTCCAGTCTACAAGGATGCTCTTAATATTTCCAAGTTCTTTGCAAACAAAAAAACCAACAGAGTGACTTTGTTTTCCAAACACATATTTACCTATTTAACAGTTGTTAGCACAGTATGCCACGTAAGTCTGAGAATAATGTGGCAGGCTAAAAACAAAGAAGGAACGATGTCAAACTGAACCAATACACAGCATGAACCTTCTTTTCAGGCTCACATAGAGTAGCAACACAATTTTTCTTAGTATTCAAGGTCATCTTGACCTCATTTAATCCTTAAGTGTGTATCATAAACACCTATTTTTCTTGGAAAATGATTTCCAGGCTACACAAAAAATTGTCAAAGTCAGTCTATCAGAAGTTTAGAGTTATCAGGAGAGATGAAAAACACAGTATAAACAAAATTACTTACTTTTATAGGTTACACTCTGTAATTACACAGCAAGAGATGAGAAATGTGTCCATTGATATAATTGCTATCTTACATGTATTTTTATTTTTTTTCTAAGAATTACAAAGGGGACTAGGAGGGCTTCAAAATATTTTAAAGAGATAGTTTTAAATGGTCCAAAATTTTTGAAGCATATCATATCTGGGTGTGATACACATGGTCTCTTAAGAATTTTTTAAAGATAAGGTCAGCAAACTACAGTCTGTTGGCCATTCTGGCCCATCACCTGTTTTTGTATTTCCCTGAGCTGTGAATGGTTTTAATATTTTTAAATGATTAAAGAAAAAAATCAAAAGAAGAATAACATTTTATGATATGTAAAAACTATCTTATGTCCAAATGTTAGTGTCCATAAATAAAGTTTTGTTGGAGCACGGCCCACTCATTTGTTATGGGCTGGCTTCATTCTTGCCACAATGGTAGAGCTGAGTAGTTGTGCAAAGCCTAAAGTACTCACTATCTGGCCCTTTCCAGAGAAAGTTTGCCAGCCTTTAAGAGCTTTCCCCTAAAGAAACACTATGGCCTTCTATAAACCAAAGACTTCTTCACAGAGATTTCTTGTGTCAATGACACAACATGCTTTAAAAAATAATAAAGTGCACAAATTTAGTAAATATAATACAGTTGCCATATTATAAAATAAAATGATAGACAGGCCGTTATTAGATTTAGCATGTTTCTTTTCCCACTTTATGTCAGTGTAGCATAATTATTAAGAACATGTGCTATAGGGCCATTCTTTTTTCTTGAATCTTGATTAGCTTTCTGTGACCTTGGGCTGGCTAGCTAACCTCTCTTAGGCTTGGGTTACATATAAAACAGAGTAATAATGGTACCAACCTCATAAAGTTATGTTCGTATTAAGTGGGGTATTTTTTCTGAAAGGTATTTAGCTTGGTACCTGATATATAGTAGGTGTGCGATAAGTTTTTTTTTAAAAAATAATTAGCATTATCATCCGAAAACGTCACTTTCTAACCAGAAGTGGTTATCTATTCCTGGTGTCTATGACTTCTGTTTTGACCAGGAAGTCCATAAAACCCTGCTTAAGTTATTTCTTAAGAGGACAGCAAAGAGTCCCTCTCTCTGCATTATCTGCAGAAAAAGTGTCCCGGATGCATGAATTCCAGCATGTACTTGACAGGACAGTGGAAAAATGGAGGCATAGAATGTCTAGAAACAAAAATCACCGGGACAAAAGGTGTTGGAAGGCTGGTCAGCACCTGGATCAAATTAGTGAGTAGAAAGTTGGGATTTTCCATGTGAGACTCCATTTCAACTTTTCTATGGAGAGTCCACAGTTCCATGACAGGCTATTGATGAAAGCTCTCTGAGTAGCTAAAGTCCTTTTTTTTAGAGTTTTGGTCATTCTATCCATTTTATGTTCGGTTAACACAGCCATTATGTTTTTATTACTTGATGTGTTAGTTGATGTTTCCAACCAGAAACACTCTTAGAAAATCATGAGGGTGTAATGCTGCAATTCTTGGAAAGTTAGTGATTTCTTTCCTCCTGGATTTGCTGCTATCTCTTGCCTGCACTGGCTTTGCTCTTAGAATCAAGATGACTCTGGATTAATGCAGATGAACCAGAGCCTAGCAAACACATGATTCCTCAGCTGCGATGCTACCTCCTTTTCTTTCCTCATCTCTAAATAGGTCGTGACCAGCCTCAGCAGAGGTGGTCTCTTTTGTTCACCAGAGGCGGTCTGGAGTCAATTGTTAAATAGCATGAAGAGGTGAACCTTCTTTAGTTGCCCTTACAGAACGAATATCTGCCTAAAGAGAGCTATTGGGAGACTAATCCCCTAAGATAAACAATTCATCTCCTTACCCCCCAAAATCATTGACAGAATTCCAGAGGCAGTAGATATCTCCACAATACAGCCATGAAACAGATTTTCTATAGGTCCATTTCCTTTTTTAGGAAAAATAAAAGTCACAAAGAACAGTTTGTACACATCTCACTTGTTTTTACTTCCTGTGTTTTGTGTCTGGACATACTAGTATTTTGTGAAGAAAATCCTTCGAGATTTTATCCTTGTTCCTCAGTGAGGGTTGAACGATTCTGGTTTATTTGGTTTAGCCACTCAAAGGATGAATGAAATGTTTCAGCATTCTTACATAATCTAGTTGGAATCATGGTGAAGACAACAGATGCAAACACCCACACATCCCCCTGGTGCGTGAGGATAAAACCCCAAACTGTGATGCTCACGAGCATGCCTGTGAGTAGGAGGGGGTGGGTGGCCTCTGTTTACTCGTAGGAGTAGCTCTCATCATCGTATTCCAGCTCATCTTCATCATCATCATCCAGCAGCCCATACTTAAATTTCCGGTAGACAGTGCCATCCTGGCCCATGTAGACTATGTCATCCTCGTCATCCTCATCAAAGTCACGGTCCCTGTACTCAATCACCTGATCCTCTTCAAAGTTGGTGCTCTCGCGATGGTTGCTCTTATAGGAGGAGTAAGACTTGCTAGGGTCAGCCAGCTTTTCATAGCCCTTCTCTACTGGCTGGGCTCGGCCCCGCGATTTCCTCCAGACGATCACAGCTGCCCCAATCAGAAGCACCAGCATAATAAAGGAGGTGACGAGCAAGGCTGTCTTCGAATGCTCAGGGGCAGACCCCATCTCACTTGCTGGAAGGATGCACTCGTCTGTTGGAAGATGACCCCAAAGGAAGAGGGGAGAGAGAAAGGATGAAAAAAGATGGAATGGGGAAAATTAGTTTCTGATGTTAAGAACTTCACCTTTATTTTTTAAATCTAAAATGGCAGAATCCCTCTCTGATTTTCTTAACAGTCACACCACTCTGCAGAACTGTGGTGTGTGTTGCATGAGAGTCCCAGTCTATGTCAGATGATGCCATCAAACCCTTCTAGAATGAAGATCAGTTTGAGATCCAAAGGAGCCGACCCCCCCACCCCCTGTCCCCCCTTCCCCATACCTCATGGGTCAATCGCCAAGTGTCCAACCTTACTCATCGATTCTCCGGTTTCTTTTCCCAGAAAAACATTCCATCTGGGGCCATGATTCACTTAATGCTAAATAAATAACTGACTTTTGCTAAGACTGTGTCCCCTTCTCAGCTCCTCTTAAACCTGGTCCAACATGATTGTGCCACCATTCAAAGACAGGAACAGATTATTTATAAAACCATTGACTCTTATTTCTGTGTTGGGCCATAGATTTACTTAGGTTAACCTGTTACTTGGCAGTTGAGAAAACTGAGGCCCACAGAGAGGAAGTGAATTTTCACATTGTCAGAGCCAAGAGCTTGTTTGTGGAGCAATCAGAATTCAAATCCAGGAATCCTAACCTTCATGCTGTAGTCTGGAGAGGTTAGGATAAAGCACTCTGACAAATTTTTGATTTCTTGGTATTATATGGCCCTAATAAGGCAGAGAGAGAAAAACCACCTTTAAATTTCTTCTATCATAATTAAGATTTCTGAAATTGAGAGTTTTTTCCCCTGTCATTCACCAGCCTCTGTTTTGATGCATTAATTGAGAACATGGAGTAACCAAAATTGTCACAGAAGGAAAGATTAAACCATAACTTGAGTGATGAGTTCATTTTTCTTACTTTTCACCCCTTTATTCAGGTGGTATGATTTGAGTAAGTTGCATATATTTTTTTCTCTTCTTTCACCCATCAAATGAGAATGTGCAAGAAAGTATGAAAGAACTAGAGAAAAAACTAGCAGGCCATTTTGGATGGACAAGCTGAAATACATACTGTTTTTCATAAACATTTTTTGAACCACATGAACCTGACTCCAGAATCTTTTATGAGAGGCTCTACATTGTACATACTAGCTTAATATATAATGCTCCTTCCAATTGTTTTAAGGGAAATTATTTTTGCTTATTAGATATTGGCCAATTATATCTGATTCATCACCACTATATCTCTTTTTGTTGGAGGCAGTACACTAGTGATAAAGAAGTTTTCTATTTTATTGTAACTTTCATTCTCATGGGATTTTGCCCATTAAGCAGAGTTCCTTCTAAAGTAACAGCACTATCATTATGGCTTTCATTAGCAATACAGCATAGAATTTTCCCCTGGAGGAAATATTATAGCACCAGAGAAATGGATAAGCAATCGGTGTGTGGTACTTGGCGATAAATACTGCCTGAGGCAGGAGAATCAACAAAAGACCTTTGAATTACTAGGGCGCCATATGCAATCACGTCTTATGGCTCCACAGTCTTAAGTCTGCAGAGTCAGGGTCGGCCTCTGTGATCTGGTTTCTTTGAAGGAGCAAGTGTCTCAATAAAGAATGAGTAGGTAATCAAGAGTGTTTAGACTTCTGCAGAGTTGCCCCAGGTGGATCTTTGAGAGCCACAGAGGCCCAGGAAAGCTGACTAACTAATTTTTAATAGGAGCAGGCTTACAGAAACTCTGCACCCAATATGCACACACTTCTGGTTCCATTTAAAGCCATCGGTGTAATTAGGATTATTATTCTTAGCTGACACAGCATGAGTATTAGGCAATCAGACCCTGAAGGTGGATGTATATGAGGAGCTGGAGAAATCACCTGCTTGGGGGGGTGGGAAAAATGAAAGAAGGAAATCATTAGTTTTTGGAAAGATGCTATTTAGAGTTTAATTGAAAAGGCTGATTAAAACCATAAAATAGAAATGGCTAGTAGCAGTTATGGATCCAGGATATACTTCACTTATAAATGGACATGCTCCCAATAGTATTATTCTGTTTTTGTCGGGCCATGATACATCTGAAGCCCATGGAAATGATTTGCTTCTGGGCTAGAGATTGTATTTTAAGAAAGTATTTTTTATTTTTAAAAAGAAATCACTCCATTTGGGGTCTTTCTAAGTTTGTGGCCAATGGGAACCATGTACCCTTACAAATTGAGCTGGGAGTGGGAGACATTGTGGGGACTGGGAATTGGTTAAACGGTTTGTTTCCTTTTATCCTTCAATGAAAGTTCATTTCTAAAATGCTTTAGGTCTCTAATAGGAAGCCTAGACTTAGGCTGGTTTCTACAGAATGATTCTTTATGATAATACTGGCACCAGCTTTCTTGATAGTTGATTCTTTTCCTTTTTTTTTTTCCCAGAAGGGAAGAATAAAAAAGTTATAAAGTAACATTAGAAAGATAAAATTCTAGACCTATTTGAGCTCTAATGTTGGAGGGAGCACAGTAGTGGAAATAAATGCAGGCTTTGCAATCCAAAGGACCAGGATTCTAATTCCAGATGAGCCTCTTAACATTGGTGTGGACTTGGGCATGCTAATCAAACCCCTTGAGCCTCAGTCTCCTCATCTGTAAAATGGGATTAATATTATCTACTTATATGAGATGATGGACAGAAAGTTTCAAGTACAGTAGGCACATACCAGGCCTCAATAAAGAGGTAGCCCTATTGATTCTTCTGATCTCTCTATCCTTCTCTCTTTCCTGCTCCCGTCAGCTTCCTGAGGCCATGCCCTTCCTTTGCAGGCTGCTCTTCCTCTCCCCTCACCTGTGGTATTCTGGCAGTCACAGCAGTCCTGGGTATCCGTGGGATCAGAGGTGTTGCAACAGTGCAGACAACGGCTGTCATCCATGACCAGCAGCAGGTTGGCGGGGCACATAGTACAGTTCTTGGCGCCAGGTCCTTTGCATTCTATACAGCTCTCGTGGCATTTTTCACAGTTAAATTTCTCCCCCTGTTAAGATCAGGAAATTCCTTTTGAGTGGGGAGGGAGGCATATCTTATCTCCATAAGGAAAGAAGGCATATGGGGGACAGCAAAAAGGTGATCTGTTCTGGGTGAAAGACCGAACCAAGTCTTTGTACTCGGATGGAATCACTGCTGGCCCTTTCCCTCTGAGATCTGCTGGTAACAATAATGAAAGAACAGGCTTGAAGACCAGCTCAGGTTACAGACTGATAGCTCGTGTGCTGTACCTGAGAAAGGACAGCTTTTGTCTGGCCCACCCTACACTGACCTCCACAGTTTAAAATTCTTTTTCATTCATTGCCCACACTTCAAAGGGGGGTTAGTTCACATGTAAGTTTGCACTAAGGTTTTCTTTGATCAAGCACCCTTGACTCATTATCTGCCTGGCCTCTCATTCTGTCCTAGAAAAACGCAAGTTGTGATTGTTTAACTAAAGCAGCTAAATCTCCATGAGAAGGGAGTTGAGAGACAAGGAGAAGGTGGCCTCCCTCCTGACAAGTTGCTCCTACCCTGGTGCTGGAAACATAGACGGGGGAAGATAGTCGCTTTGGAAAGATGATGTAACAGAAAAAGAGGGAATGGACAATATCTTTGTTGAGCACCTTGGCATGTTTTAGGCACTGAGAAGGTGCTTTCTCAGCTATTATTATCTCATCAAATCTGGATTAGGAGACAGAACCTGTGGGTTGAATTCTGGCTTTGTTACTTACTATTCATGTGGTCTTTACCAACTCTTTAATCTCTCTGAACTTCAGTTTCACCAAAGTGTAATAAGGGCTACTGTCAGAATATAAAGAGCTCATGTGTGAATATGTTGGGTCATGCTTATTTCAAAATAGAGAGATAGATGTTCTCAAATGAAAGCTATGGGTGGCTAGCACCATTAATCCATGATTCAATGTAGAAGATTTAAAAAGATTAAACCTGCACAGTATAGGAATTTTAGGCCTGTTTTACTTTGCCTAGAATGACAGGCAGAAACCAGTTTATTTTGTGGAATGGCAGAAGGCACACTATGCCCAGCTCTCAGTACCTCTCCCACTCTGTATTCCCCCACAACACAGTCTGAGGTGCAGATTCCTCCTGCCAGGTGGTAACTCCACACACAGGATAAGCACTGCAACGCTCCTTTTCCTGAAAGAAAAAAAAAATGATTCTAAGTTATGAGACTGACCTTAGATTTCAGCCTCTGACTTGGTTCCAGACACGTAGGAGCATGGAATATGTTAAGGAAATGGAAGTGGAAGGGTGAAATGATTGAGGATATGAAAAAAAAAAAAGTCTGCAAAACACCAAGTGAAGACCATTAGTTATCCAATTAGTTAAATTGTTGTAAACTTTCATTTTGGAAATTGAAGATTTAGAGATGACAGATCTTTTATTAAAGCAAGAGGATTTTCTGAGAATGAGAAATCATATAGAATATTTATAAAACCTTTATTTGTCATTCTGCTTATTTTTAACTAGTATAAAGGACAAGGATTATACCAGCTGATTTTGGGGATTCCCCAAACTCAGTAATTCATGATTAGGCAGTTCCTAATTGAGAAACATCACCAGAGTTGAAAGTTAAAATGCTGGGGCTAAAAGAATTTAACAGAATATTTTGTCTAATCGTTCTTAATTTTGAGGATGGTGGTGATAGTTTCCTTTGAAATTCTCCTGACCTGAAATCTATAAACTTTCTTCTCAGAAATTTGACATCCTATTTATTATTTTTTTAAATAAATAAAAACTAAGGCCTACTAAATGAATTTATATGATAAAAATTCAAACTTCCCTACATTTTTTAAATAATAAAAAATAATGTGAAGTCACTCATTCAAGGTTACACAGGTAATAATGGCTGAGTCATAAATCAAATTCAGGTTTTTTAACTCACACTCCAGTGCTCCTTCTATCATACTATCTACCTTAACACATGAACCACCAAGTAGAGGAGGTCCGGATCTATAGATTCTGTTTCCTGTGGAGGTAATACCCCTCTCTCCTAATTCAGAGACCTCAAGAATGACTGGCTCAAGCATTTCTTTCTATTCAAATATCAAGGGATAACTAAGAGTTTGGAGACAGGAGACCTGAGCTCTAAGAAGACTCTGGCAGTTTTGCTGAGAATATCAAAACAGAAGCCAAGAGACAGACAGGACATGGAAAGTGCCTGGTATTGTGAGTTGGAATTTGTATAGGTCTTCCAATCAGAAGAATATTGAAAAGAGTGGTTAGTTAAACTTGAACTAGCACTGTGAATCTTCTCCTTCAAATTCACTATGGAATTAGCACTTCATGTCTGATCTGTGAACTCAATCATTTATAAAGTTTCCATGGAAAAATGAATTCTGAGCTATGAACAACATCTTAGAGAATAAACTTTTATTGCTCAACTGCTTCGATTAGGGCTGTCTGTCATGATATAAATTCAAAGCCATTCTATTTTTATTTTACTTCTAGATTTATACAGAATTTCCTACATGTCTGAGACATAACTACAGTCTCTGATGAAAGAATCAATCTTCCTCTACTTCCTTTCTTCCTACCCTACATTTTTCTAAAATATAGTTTACATGTCTTACTCCAATTTTAAAATAAAGAAGTGTGGGGTTTGTTTTTCTTTATGAAGAGAAATTTAGGGTAGGAAAAATTAAAAATTAAAAGAGGAAAAAAGGGTTATAAAATGTGTACCTTAAGGTTGGTTAAATTTTTTTCAGAAGACCAGAAGCAATTTGGCTGAGGCGTAGGTCCTGGGCAGTCCCCAAAGGCACTACCTGTCACCTTGGGTAACAAATCAGTAACTCCCTTTAAATCTCCTACATTGATTTATGGCAAAATCTCCACATTTAGGGCACCCAGAGTCTTCTGCAAAAGGCAGTTTGTTAATTTCCAGAATGTTTTCTCTGTTTTCAAGTTTAACACCTGACATTTATCATTGCTTCTAAGGATCTGCAGGAGCCTTGGGACCTATAAAGACAGCTTTGGTATTTCCTTAAAATTCAGATCAGCTCACCATCTGCTCTACCTTGGACTGACCCCCATGGGATGAATTTGCCAAGGCAGAGCAACCCTGGGGGCTGTTTATGGCATTATTTACACAGAGAGAGGCAGCTTGGGAGAGTTAGCGGGGGTTGGGCTACTCAGCCTGGATTTTTATTTCAAACAATTTTGTGAGGAAGATAAATAAAAAGTTAAGTGTGTGAAGGCAAGGAATAAACTAATTGTGGAGGAACCAACTGCATATAAACATACATATTTATTAGGCCTGGTGTGCTCCTCTCCCCCTCCCCCACTTTACCTAGTGCTTTTAAACTTTTTAAAAATACCCTAATGTTAGTAGGCAGTCAGATGTGAATAAAATAGAATCTAGTTGGCAAGTTACTTATGTAGGTTGCCAAATTATCCTTTTATTTTTCATACATCCTCAGTTCTTAGTATGATGACTAATGTTTTTTTTTAAAATATATTTTTATTGATTTCAGAGAGGAATGGAGAGGAAGAGAGAGACAGAAGCATCAGTGATGAGAGATAGTCATTGATGGGCTGCCTCCTGCATGCCCAACACTGGGGACTGAGCCGTAACCCAGGCATGTGCCCTGACTAGGAATTGAACCCTGACCTCCTGGTTCATAGGGCAATGCTCAATCACTGAGCCATGCAGGCTGGGCTGATGACTAATGTTTTAAGAAGAAAGGAATTCATACTTTTTTCAGTCAGTATACAGCTCAAGAGAAAACCTGTCCTCAAATTTTGTACACCCAAATCCTATAGTTTCTGATAGGGTTCACTTTTGGCATTGTACATTCTATGAACTTGGACAAATGTATCACCATTATAATATCATACTAGAGGCCCGGTGCACAAAATCCATGCACTGGGGTGGGGGAGGTCCCTCAGCCTGGCCTGCGCTCTCTCCCAGTCTGGGACCTGCCTTGGGGGATGTAGCAGTGTGCCAAGTGGCAGGCGGCCAGGGAGAAGCCCGAATCGGGGCTGGGCACTGCTTGCGCACATCCTGGCCCACTGCGCCTGATGCCACAGAGTCAGGAGAGGCTCCCACTGTGGCAGCTGCATTGAGTGTCTGCCCCCTGGTGGTCAGTGCACATCATGGCGACTGATCGTTCTGGTCGTTCCACCATAATGGTCGCTTAGGCTTTTATTATACAGGCTAGAGGCCCAGTGCACGAATTTGTGCACCATTGGGGTCGCTCAGCCAGGCCTGTGGGATGGGGCCGAAACCAGCTCTCCGATATCCCCTGAGGTGCCCTGGATTGTGAGAGGGCACAGGTCAGGCCAAGGCACCCAGAGGTGCATGATTGGGGCAGGGGAGGGACGTGGGAGGGCTCCAGGGCGTGTCCAGTCCATCTCATTCAGTCCCAATTGGCTGGACCCCAGCAGATGTCAAAGACTTAGAAAAAAAAAGGGGAATGTAAAATATCTCAATCAATTTTATGTTGACTGTATATTAAAATACTGTTTTGGGTATATTAAAAGATATATATGAAATTAATTTTACCAGTTTTTTTTAATGTGTCTCCTACATGTAAAGTTATATGCATGGCTTGTATTATATTTCTCTTGGGTACTGCCGAAACATCATGCTGTGAGAGACACCAAAGACATTCTGGGTCTCGTCTGAATAGCACATGACCATTCCCAGGTTAGTGTGTGCAGATTGCCCACTAGTCTGAGCACTTTCTATCTAAGAGTAATTTAATGTGTATATTCCTGAGAGTCACTCTCTCCATTTTTCCCCCTTCTCGGTTTTAACACTTTTCTTTCGGTCTATGCTGCAACCAGAGCAAAGTGGGGGCTGTGACTCTGGCCCCGGATTGCAGAGAAATGCAGGGATCCTGGCCGAGAGCAGAGGGAAGCGGCTCGGTGCTGAAGACCAAGACCAACCCCTCAGGCACCTCAGCCCGCTAAGCAGCCCCGCAGTCAGGGGGGGGACTGCGGGTTCCTCGCACTGTTGTAGTTTCATTGTTTCTTATAGTTTTTCCTGCTCCTCCAAC